GATAGGAATAATTGGATTAAAATCAGAAATTGGATTTTGGACTTGCTCTAATTTTAACAAGGTTTGACTACACTGACCTAAAAAACTGTCGGTGTCACCTAGTTTACCAAAAGTTGTATTTAAAAGTTCAGAAGAAGATTCAAGAAGAGCATCACCTTTAGTTAATAAATTTTCTATAGGAGGATTAGACGACGAAGTTGAACGTAAATTACGAGAAGGATGTTTTGAAACAGATACTTTAGTACTACAGGTTGGTTTGAAATCAGGATCAACTGATTTGTCGTCGATAGGACTACTACTTCTACTACTAGAATTACTCATAAACAATACTTATAATACTATCTTAAATTCCAAAGCTGAGCTGATTCCACAAAAGATAATTAAATAATAAACATGAATAAAAAATAGATAAATGTAAATTATATAAATATATAAATAACTAACTAATTTACCCCCAAGATTTTCTGATACTTATTTATTATAAAAAAAAAAATATATATATGTATGTACGTATAAATGAATACACTTAAAAACGAAAAATATTATCTATATACATAAATGTATTATTATTATTATTTTTTTTTTCTTTTCTTTTCTTTTTTTTTTAAAAAAAAATAAATTAAACTACAAAATAAAACTTACAGTAATAAGACATTCACCACCATAAACATGATGTATTGATAGTTTGGTTGGGTTGGATTGATGTTTCTTTATTGATGTTCTACACTCTGAAACTGGTCACGCGGAGAAACTTGACTTGTGGGTTTTTAGTGAATTTTTTTTTTTATATTTTTGTAAAATATATATATATATATATGAGTTCGGGCGGCGGCGAAAGTATATACGTTGATAGTGAACGAAATAACAGTAGAAATTACTAACCGTTTATTGTACTAAATACAACAAACAAGTTTTATTTGTTGTTTATTATTATCTTATTTTTGATTGATTTTCTTGAAGTTGTTTGATTTTTGAAGATTTTCTGTATGTTGAGTTCAATGCTTTTCTTGATTTTCTGGAGGTTCTGATGAGTTATTTGACTATTGTTTGCGTACTTAGTAACTTTTATGATAAAAATTTTAATTATTCTTTTTCGGCACTAGTCTCTTCGGATCGCACCGCTGCCACCAAAATTAATGTTACGAGAGTAACAAATAGAATAAAATAAAATAGTATTGCCGAATAATTAATTAGTTTATTAAAAATAAAAGTGATAGTATTCATACAATAATTGTCAAATGACTGACGATGCTCTGCATTACAATCGTCGCAGTCGGCCCACTTCCCGGTTTTGCAACACCGAAAAATACTTTATAGACACATTCTTTTAGGCCGACCTCAATTACAATTCAATTTATGATTATCTGTTATTACAATTGTGGGACAATATTAAAACTAAGTTAAGTATTCATAACACTTACATTAAATATAAATTTAAACTTATTTTCATTATTTTGCCTCCTCAAAGTTATGAAAAGTTGCTTTAAATTTTTTAGTTAACTAGTTTAAATTGTCATATTTATCTACAAATTTTCCTTTATAGAGGTGGGTTAAAAATATTATAATGCGTACAGAAAGAAGAATTTTTTCAACTACATTTTCAAAAAAAAAAATTGACCATAGCACTTCGTGCTAAAAACGTGGTTCAAAGTTAAATAAAAACTAACCTTTTTGTAATAAATCTCAATTTCATAATAGCTTCGATGCGAAGCTATTATGTTATTTTTTATTAGTTATTTTTTTCAACGATGTGTCAATAGATCACAAATCGTATCTAGTCGAAGACATTATCCTCAAAAATTGAAAAAATTTCCCTCGTTCCCCGTAAATAAGGGAAACCTCCAAAAAAATTACAATTTTAAAAATCGCTAATTTTCGAAATTTTTTCATTTTTCTTTAATTAAAACTGCCATAACTTTTTCAAAAATAAACAAATCAATATACATATTTTTTTTAAAGATGCAAGATATCTTTACCTATCATTTGGTATATTTGTTTTAAAAAAATGGTGGATTATTCCAAAAGCAGTATGAACTACTCCTATTTCCTTAATTATATCCTGATTAGTAGTTCTTAGATTTAAAAATGTAATATGTGAATAAATATTTTATATAGCAATTAAATATAGTATGAAATTGATGTTTAATAATTTAGTATTATTAAATACTAAATATATGGTAAACATGAATAAAAGTTAAAAGGTATTATGTGCAGTATATCAATATAAATAATTATTTGAATACCAAGAGTTACATAGAAATAATAAATAATTCTATTAAAGTTATTTACTACGATATAAATACAAAAAATACAATAAGTGATTTGACGAAATTTCGGGCTTTTTTCATAAATTTATTATTAATAGTAATTATTTGAGTTTCTGACTATAAGCGGTGGTTCATGGGTGCTGGTAGTGAGTATGCGACTTTAAAAATAATATCACTAGTCATAGGTATAAAAAATTTCCAAATTAAATACATTAAAATAAAACACAATACACATAACGACGACACTGTCGGTCGTCCAAAACCCGTACATAAGATCGCACCTGACCGTCCCCCCATATACACAATTGCAGCGCCTCGTTTATAATATACGTCTCAGAATATTATTGTGTCTAATATTATTATTAAATAATATTAGACACAATATAAAAATTTGCATGGAAGCGTTTCTTATAATTGTGATTTTAATCACTGTCAGATATCATCTATACTCGTCCCATCTATGGCACGTCCACACTGTGCGCGAATCCACTGTGTTATCATTTTTTAAATTATATATCATTAATAATAAAAAAATTTAATCTAAATTTTTTATTTTCTTTAAAATTTTGAAATATATTTTTTTAACATTTTAATTACTAAAAATTTTAATGAGGCGACTATAATTATAAGACATGCACTTATACACTTGATATGAGTGGTATCTATATGTATAGATTTATTGATTTTTTTTTTTTTTTATTATTAGCTTTCAATACAGAAGTATTATTATAGCTAAACGATTAAAATAAAACTATACAATAGAAACTAAGACTATACAATAAGAACTAAGACTATACAAAGGAAAAAAAAAATTTATTGATTGGTTTTAAATAAAACATTTCGTGCTGGAAATTATTTTGCAGAAAATATTCATTGCAAATACCATCCTCGTATTATTGGTCGTTTTACAAAAAGATGGTGGAATCGTACTGACTACTTCTGATATTTCTAATAATAAAGACTCCACCAATGAAACAGAAGGTAATATATTTAAATAATTGTAAAACTAAAACTTAAAGAATTCTTTAGACCCAATGATAAGCCGAATTTCCATTATCGGTCATTATTGATCAATCGCTCTAATCAGACCTTTCTATGTAGATGCTACAACAAGAATTCGTCGTGATCGGTAACCATCGCCCATCAGATGGAAGAGATCATATTTCGTATGTATACGTGTCGTTTCAAAAACGATGTAAAATGGTTATTTATAAAAAAATTAATTATTATCACTATCTCTACAAGTAGATTAAAAACAAACAATTTTGCATCCAAGCATTTATTATGATAGTGATTTTAATCGTTGTAAGATATCATCTATACTGCACCCAACTATGCTACGTCCCCACTATTCTCGGTTGTTTCGAACTCAAAAATAATTAAGAAAAAAATTCATTCTTAAAAGCAGGTTCGAACCTCGTACTCCAATCATTAAAGACATAAGTTTTGAAAAAAATAAGTATTACTACCGTCTTCAAGTAGATTAAAAACAAAAAAGTGAAATACCTAAGGCTTCAATATAAAAAAAATTGTTTTCATTCATTCATTTTTCAAAAATGTATGACATTTTTAAGAAAGTAAAGTTTAAAAAATGTCGATATTTACCGATTTTAAAATCATAATTTTTGAGGGATTTACCTTATATATACACCCAGAGAAAAACCTCGATCTATATAATAAATTCATTGTTCAATTTGATAAATATATCATTACTATTGAATCAATGATATATTTATCAATATGATATTTTTTTTTCTTGTCTTGAACAATAATTATTTATAAGAATAGTTATTTTGTTCGTATTAATAAAACATTATCATAAACCCTTGATAAAATTTCTCTTTCAATTTTGATTGAGGTTTTTCTTTGGGTGTAGGGAACGAAGGAAATTTTTTTAAATTTTGAGGGTAATGTCTTCGACTAGATACGATCTTTTGACATATTATCTTGATGTTTTGATGTCTCATTTTATGAAAAAATAATTAAGTATAAATATGTATTCAAATATATACTCAATAGTAACCTTAAAATATAATTTAACAAACGAGATACGCAAAAAAAAATTCATCATTATTAAAATATAATTTGTAAATATCCTTTTTTAAATAAACAAAATATTTTTTTTATATTTGTACCACCCTTAAAAAAAAAAAAAAAAAATTGAAAATTGGATCGTTAAGTAATTTTTTCAGCATTGTGAAGTTTTTCAATATTTTACTATAAAGTAAAAAAATAACTTGTAATAAATTTTAATTTTCACAAATTATTTTCTTTTAGATTGTTCGATATGTTATGCAAAAATGACGAATGATGATTATAAAACTATATGTTGTGAACAACAAGTGCATTTGAAATGTTTAGATAAATGGTTTGATATATCTAACACATGTTTTTTGTGCCGCGGGAATCCATTTGAATGTATAGAATATTTTTTCAAATAATTAAGATTAAGTCTTAAGACACGCATGAATATCATTGACCACATTGTATTTGTTTGTAAAAATTAATTTTTGAAGTCGAGTATATGAATAAGGAATTTCATAGAATTTTTTTAAAAAACTATTATTTTGTTTCAGGTTATTTTAATAATATGATAATAATTAATTTTTAACACTATCATTGGTATCAACAATATTAATAAAATTGTGTTATGATGTTATAGTCTATTATGTGTTACAATAATTTAGAATTTAATATTTATGTCAAACTCTAATGAATTAATTATACTCTAAATAAGCTATAGTATTAGTGCCCGAAAAAATACAAATGATAAAAACTTATCCTATTATCAATGCTTCGATGTTTTATTTTATGACAAAATAATTAAGTATAAATGTGTATTCAAAAATATACTTAATGGTAACCTTAAAGTATAATTTGCAAATATATTTTGTTATATAAACATTGTTATGTTGCAGATATTGTACTAGTTTGTTTTTATAAATCTTAACAGTTAGTGATATGTGCATTAGGTGTAAAGTATTGATAGTTGTGTATGTGATAACCTCCATCAGTTCCCAACCGGTCCGATATCTATCATCCTAATGTCATCAGCTACACTGTGCACCTGTATCAATATTATTGTATTTCCCCCCAATGAATTTGTTCAAAGGTGGCACCACCACCACCGGCTACTACACGATGCCATGCGACTGGACTTTTTCTCAACTATACTACCGATTTGTATAGTCATGTCATTTTTCCATTGTTTTTTGCCGCTTGTCAAAACCACGTTATTTTTTGCTGCATTTTTTTTTGTACTCCGTTTTTTTTTTATATAGAAAACAAAACGTTGAGGTGTCAATAATGACGTGAGGCGCTCACTATGGCCGGTGATGGGTCGGTACATCTGGAGAATGTCCATCAATCAATAACAAGTATACATAAAACTCCCCTTTGTACCCCTTCATAATGTCTATAATTTCATATAAATTCATATAACTATAATTATATTTAAATGATACATATATAAATTTTAAATAATTAAAAAAAGTATTATTATGTTATACATGGCATATGTTGTTTTTCTCTTCATACTTTTCCCTCATTTTTATTAACATTTGTCTTTTTTTTTTTTTAAATCAATAACTAGTAGCTCTTTCAACGAGTACTATTCTAGCTTGGCGCGGCTATTAGGTCACTGTACAGTGTTCCCCTTGGCAGTGGGTAAATAGTAGTGATAGGCATTTTCGAATATTTTAAACTATCGATTAGTATTTGATAGTTTTTTAAAATTAGCGAATAACTATTCGAATTGTTTTTATACAACCGAATAGTTTATTTTTAACATGAACTATCGAATGGTTTCAAAAAATATTCGATTAGTTTTACCTAATATTTTTATTTAGTACACTTAATTATAATAAGAAGATAATTAACGAATACTTAAAATAAATTATTATACAATTAATAATAATAAAAATTAGTAATGGGCATTTTCAAATAGTTTAAACTATCGATTTACTAATCGAATTGTATTTATACAACCGAATTATTTATTTTTAGCATCAACTATTGGAATATACTATCGAATAGTTTTTAAAACTATTCAAATATATTATATTGTATAACTATCGAATATTTTTACTATTCGAATAGTTTTTGAATGACTGTTGAATAGTTTGATAGTTACTATTCGATATTTCCCATCACTAGTAAATAGTAGGCAATCTGATTCGGCTGATACCTTACAACATAATACTTTTTTTTTATATTTGAATCACCGAACTTTTTTATATAAAAAAAAGAAATTTTAAATTAGTATAGTCTAGTAATTTTCCAGCACTGTGAAATTTTTTAATGTTTTGTTATAAAGTAAAAAAATAACTTGTAATAACTTTTGATTTTCACAAATTAATCTTTTTTAGGTTGTTCGATATGTTTGAAAAAAATGACGAATGATGTTTATGCAACTGTATGTTGTGAAAAACCAGTGCATTTTGAATGTTTGGATAAATACTTTGATACATATAAAACATGTTCATCGTGCAATGGTATTCCAATCAAATGTACAAACAATTTTTTTAAATAGTTAAGATTAAGTTTTAAGACATTCACGAATAGCATTGATTACATTGTTTGTAAAAATAAATACGTTCTAATCTTAGCATTGAAGTTAAAAATTTCATAGAAAACAATATCGAGTAGTTGGAATAATTTTTTACGTTTTTAGTATATTTAATTATAATAAATAAAATAATATTATTTATAGTAGATTGTAATTCTTTTTTTAGGTTGTTCGATATGCCAAGTAAATTCAACAGATGATTCTTTTAAATCTAAATGTTGTGGGAAAAGATTTCATTATAAATGTATACAGAAGTGTTTTGATAAATCCAAAACTTGTCCTCAGTGCATTCAATATTATGAAAGTATAATCGTTTTCAAATATTTTTAACTTAGTCTAAAGACACTCATGAATATCATCGACCATTTTGTATTTGTTAGTAAAAATATATTTTTGAAGTCGACTATATGGAAAAGGAATTTTATAAGAGACGATAAAGAGTAGTAGAAAAAATTTTTTTTTGAATATTAATGCGTTTTTTTTTTTTAACTAATCATATATTCACCGAAAAAGTATTCGCCAAAAATTACTTTATGACTTTAGAGTCAGCCGATTAAACTTGTAGAGAGGCGACTGGCATCCGAAAATCGTTTTTTAATCGTATTTGATACATTGATTTTTGTCTTATTTTACCTCCATTAATTACTCTAAGATATCGAGATTTCTAAAATTTTTCCTTCTTTTTATACTAAAATACACATTTTATGTGTATAGTTTTAATTTAACAGTAAAAGGATACAAAAGGATAATTTTGGAAAATGATGTTGCAGATATAATTATACATATTACAGACCATTCCATTATCTGTAGTAAAATAATTTAATAGTGATGGGTTGTGTATCATCACTTTAAAAGTTTTCTTCTTCTTCCTCAACTTAGTCCCAACTACTTGAGGTCGGCCACCCTTATCCGAAATTTCCACTTGACAAGATTTTCCACATAATCTACGCACACATAAACAATCCTCATATCGCATTCAATAACATCCCTCTATATCTTCTTTGGTCTTCCTCTACCTCTTCTTTCTTCAACATTCATTTTATATAACTGTTCTTACAGCTTCCGATTTTTCTCTCCTCATAACATGACTAAATCATCTCAGTCTATTTTCTCTCATCTTATCCACGATTGACGCTACACCTATACTCCCTTTTATATGCTAGTTTCTTATTCTATCTTTTCTAGTCCCACCACTAATTCATCTCTGCTACACTCTTTCTCTGCTCTACTTTCTTATCAACCGCCCAACACTCTGAACCATACATCATAGCTGGTCTTACTACAGTCTTGTAAAATTTACCTTTCAGACTTATTGGAATTCTTTTCGCATAAGACACAAGACTCTTCTCTCCACTTCAACTAAATGCAATTAATTCTGTGTCTTACATCCTCGTCAATATCACCACTCTTTTGCACAACTGATCCTAAATATTTAAAACTTACCAATCACGTCCTCGCCTATTGTCACTGATCTTCTTATTTCACCTACCTCGTATTCTTCTTTACCAAACTCGTACTCTATATACTCTGTCTTACTTTTACTAATTCTTAAACCATTTTTTTCAAGAGCTGATCTCCATACCTCTAGCGTTTGATTAATTTACTCTCTATTTTCTCCTATTAACACTATGTCGTCAGCAAACAACATGTACCACGGCACCTCTCCTTGTATTTCTCTAGTAATTTTATCCATCACTATAGAGAATAAGTAAGGGATTAAAGCAGAACCTTGGTGCACTCCTACTCTTACACGAAAACGTTCTGATACTCCTCCAACGTTTTTTATCCTAGTACAAGTGCCATTATACATATCTTCTATTATATAATGTATCTTTTCGGGACTCCTTTTCTCATTAATGTCCACTTTAAAACGTATGTTTTAGAAAGCGTATGTTTCTCCAAATAAATCATCTTTTCCCTAAACTTTTCTATTAGTTGCTTCACACAAAATAATGGCTCCATTGTTGACTTACCAGGCATAAATCCAAACTGGTTTTTAGATACCGATTTTATTTAAGATTTTATTTTAAAGTTCCTTCAACTACCTTATGCCAACATCGCCTAATATTTTCCATACTTCTATTGGCACTTCAACTTGTCCTACTGTTTTATTATTTTTCATTGATGCCATAGCCTCCTATACCTCTTTCTCACTAATTAAATCTACCAGTCCCTCATTTCACGAGATATCCTCTGATGTCTCTTTTGGGTACTCTTCATTCTGTAATTTTTCAAAATACTCTTTCCACCTTTTTTCCACATCATCATCCCTCAAGAGCACCTTATATCAACACTTTTTATACACTTTATATAATGATAATCTTTAGACCTTTTCTCTCTTTTTACTCTTTCATATCCTCTCCTCTCATTATTTACATGTCCATTCATACCTCCACTTATCACCGCATCCTCATTGATAGGTACCCCTTGCATCACCTCATCCATCTCTCTCCAAAACACTTCCTTGTCTATTTCATCACATCCCACTTGTGGTGTTTTTATACTAGACTTACCTGAGTATATTATTTTATAACCCTCACCTATTTCCCTTGATTTCTCTCCTTTCCACTTAGTTTCCTGCATACAACATAATGTTAACTTTTCTCCTCTTCAATATTTCTACTAATTCTCTACTTCTACCATTTAATGTTCCAATATTCCAAGTACCTATTCTTACTTTGTATCTATCTTTCTCCCATATACACGAGTCCAGCCTAGAGTTAAGTGGTGATGTCCCTACACCGTTGACACTACAAGCGTTGATTAGACCTGTACACATAACTGGTGAAACAGCTATTCGTAGGGTGTTTTGCTAACAAAAAAATAAAATAGCAGAAATAAAGAGTATTTGCATAATTAAGTAAATAAATGAATTTTGAACACGTTTTCAGTATATTTTATTATAATTAATAAAGTAATATTTATTATAGTAAATTTTAATTTTTTTTATATGAAAAAATTATTTTGATTTGTTCATTTTTCAAAAAGTTATGGCAGTTTTAAAAAAAGTTATAAAAATGTCGAAATTTACCGATTTTAAAAATTGTATTTTTTTGGAGGTATTCCTCCCATTTACAAAAACAAGTGATTTTTTTCAATTTTTAAGAGTAACGTCTTGAACTAAACACGATTAGTGATCTTTTGACGTATAGTTGAGAAATATCGGTCCAGTGAGAGCTGAGAAAAAGTAGTGACACACACAAAAAAAATAAACATAACATGATAAAATTAATACGTTCTAATCTTAGCATTGAAGTTAAAAATTTCATAGAAAACAATATCGAGTAGTTGGAATAATTTTTTACGTTTTTAGTATATTTAATTATAATAAATAAAATAATATTATTTATAGTAGATTGTAATTCTTTTTTTAGGTTGTTCGATATGCCAAGTAAATTCAACAGAGGATTCTTTTAAATCTAAATGTTGTGGGAAAATATTTCATTATGAATGTATAGAGAACTGTTTTGATAAATCCAAAACTTGTCGTCGTTGCATCCATTATTACGAAAGTATAATCTTTTTCAAATATTTTTAATTTAGTCTATAGACACTCACGAATATCATCGACCATATTGTATTTGTTAGTAAAAATATATTTTTGAAGTCGAGTATATGGAAAAGGAATTTTATAAGAGACGATAACGAGTAGTTGGAACAATTTTTTAACACGCTTATATTAGTTTCACTTGTATGTTTCTTATGAGTTGTTTGTTGTGGGATGTTTGTAACTTTCCACGCGCACGAGACTAGACGGTCGTAACGCATTCACCCCACCCCGCTCTACAGTCGTCGAAAATAATATTTTCCAACCCGTAGACGCGCGCGTCATCAATTATATACAGTGGACGCCGCTTATTGGACTCACTTTGGGACCTGACCATTTGAGTCCATTAACCGAATGAGTCTAATAAACGTCGTTCACTAATATTTATATATACATATATATATATATATATATTCATATTGTATAAGAGGTAACGACGAGACGAAAATTAAAATCCTACGAAGACTATATAATATGTTTTCACGTTTCTTCCATCGGTGAAACCAACCTTCTGTTGCTACAAAATTATTTTTGTCCATTTTTTTCGCGAGTTCCTGTAACTCGGGCATCTTTTTCTCTGACTTTTGTGAACCATTGTTTCAAAGCGTCTTCAACTTTATCTTCTTTACCGACTCTTTTTCTTTTCCGGTTTGAATTCACATTTGCTAATGATGCATTTTCGATTTTCTGTCGACTTTTTAGCATCCTACCTAGTAAACTTTGAGACACGTTTAACTTACATGCTGCTTGTCGCTGGCTCATTTGCGGAAGCTCGTCATATTTTTTAAGAACATCTAATTTTTCTTCTACACTCAAATCACGTCGTTTGTTCATTGTAACACGAAAAATGAAAATTTTTACAGAGAACGTAAACACAAACAACACTCTGTACACGACGACGTCTATTCATACACTACCTGTCGTACTAATTGACATTAAAGACTGCTTCGTTTATCGTGAAAAGGTAATTTATTTTATCTCCACGATAAAAGCAATTTTACTAGGACCGACTTATAACGTATTTATAGCACGTTTGTTCAATGTATGTACACATTATTTTTATTTATCTAATTTTCAAATGACCCTATTAACCGGTGTGTGAGTCGAATATACGAATTTTTTGCTGTGTGTTAGTATATGTGTAAATAGGGACTAGGCGTTTTGAGTCTAATAAGCGAATGAGTCAATTAACCGTGAGTCCAATAAGCGGCGTCCACTGTATATATATATGTAAATAAATTTTTATTGAGATACGGCCCCGTCACTCGTGCTACCTTTAACAGCCGTCGCCCTACTATTAGTATAAGTGACCATACGCCACGGTGTAAAGTCCAGCAAGTGCCGCACGGCCGACGATGACCCGCCGCCAATGATACGTTGAATCTTCTTCCCGTTGTTAAAGTGGCAACGTCGATGATGTACGCCACCGGCTCCTGACGTGCCGCACGACCGAACCGATCCGCATCCGCGTACCGTCGCCATTAACGCTGCAAACTTTTCGACACCCGAGAATCTTGCCGGAAACCGCCTACGAAAGTGCCGCGATATTATACGAAGATTATTTTAGTTTTGTCCAATTCGTATAAAATATATATGTATATATAGCGTTATAATTTTTTTTTAATTTCTTCAATATATTAACATACGAATAAAATAATCTATAAAATCGAATTAATTTCTAAATAATTCATATCAATGAACATTTGTTTTTACTACAATTCTATTGTACAAATAAGAACAACTCGAATAAAAAAAATTTAATTTCTATATAACTGCGTTTTGAGTTTTGTATTTAAACATTTTTGTGTTTATTTAATGCACCAAGGTTTTTAGAAGTTTAATAAATTCTATTGACATATTGGTCATGAACCTTTTTACCCACATTTTTGATGTCCCAACTAATAAGCAGATTTTTGGGAAACAAAGTAATGATGAATAATTACGCGAGTTTTTTCCAAATAAATATTTCAGTATGGGGCCAAAGCTCAATAGTTACGCTAACCTGAACCTGTGCTGCTTTCCTTGGATGTGATAGCCGTTTCTCAGCTCCCTCCCCGGAATCGAACCCTGATTTCCCGTTACCCGTTACAACCATGATATTGATAGTAACTACTATCATAACATGAAACTAAAAAGTAAAAAATAAATATAGTTTAAAAAAACTAAAAAAACATGCTTTTAAAGTACATCGAACTAAAAAGTTAAAAATAATTTTTAAAATAATTATGAACAATAATACTAGTATTTTTCGTTTATTATTGTTTTAAGCTTATTTTAAAAATTATTTTTAACTTTTTAGTTCGATTTACTTTAAAAGCGTGTTTTTTTAAACTATATTTTTTTTAAACTATTATATATATATACAAATAGCAAGGACACGCCAACTCATAAAAGACAAAATGTTTTTTTTAATCTTGTATTAAAATTTTAATATGATTTATTTTCTCAAAAATTACCCAGAATCGTCTGCTATTTTGACCGATTTATTTTTTAAATTCTCTCTTGCAGTACAACTATTTGACATGAAGATTTTTAAAAAAAAGTAATTATTCTATAGCAGCCAATTAATTATCGTCATATCATATTGTTAAAAGTGAAAATATCATTATGATCCGCGTAGTTGGCAAAAAAAAAAATATAGTCATAAAATATTTTAGTGTGTCAAAAAAGGAAACTGTCAAGCACAGTTAGAAGTTGTTGTATCCTACGTGGTGAATTAGGGACATTTGTTTGTTTTTAAACAAGCGAAATAATTTGAAATAATTTAGAGAATATAGTGCGGTCGATATCCTCTTCCATACGTTACTATAATTAACTACACGTTAAAATATTTCAATATGACTTTCATGAATTACCATCCTTCATGAAAGTTAACGGTTGGATTTACAAAATAATATTTTGTTTGAAGGGTTAATGTAAAAAATTAAAGTCAAATACCAAATAATGTGTTAAAATAACAGTGGGTTTTGTAGAATGTTAGTGTTAAGGTGACAGATACAAAAAATAAATCAGTTTGAGAATCACATAAAAATTTTATTTTTTTTTTCGGTTTTCTTATTTATTATAATGAGCAACAATTCATTATTGTACCTTTGTAAAATAATTGTAATAAATTTTCAAAGTGTACTTTAGGACACACACACACAGTAATATTAAAAAATAATTGTGAATATTAATTTACAAATCTTCCTAGAGTGACTAAACACTAATAGACTATGTTATAAATAGAGTAAACGAAAAATAAATTTATATAATATATTTTATAATTTGTTTGGTGCAATTTTTTGTATTTTTTTTAGAATGTGAACTATGTGAGAATTATATTAATGACGATGACTTTTATAAATTTAGTTGTTGCAAATATCAGGTACATTTAAAATGTCTTGAAGATATTTTTGTATATGTCAAAATGTCTGGCGAGTGTCCAATATGTCATACAAATTTAATACCAGATGGTGAGATTATTGAATTGTAACTTCTTCTTGCTTAAAATTAAATTACTATACAAAGAATTTGTTGTTAAAGTGGCAAATTATGATGCTGACACATTAATTGTTAACACTGCAATTAATGTGTCTAGTTATCATCCTAAAGTTATTGTGGTTGGTGAAGATATTGATTTATTTGTACTTTTCTCCGCTTTAACTCTTAGTAAAAGTAAAGCCTATTAATAAGTTTTAAAAAGCCAGCTCAGGTAAAGTAGAAATAAAATGTTTAGTACTGAATTTATACAAACAAATAAACCTTCTTTGATAATAAAGTACTGTTTCATCATGCAATAAGTGAATGTGATATGTTAGCCTTATTTCATAAAGGAAAAAAAAATGTGTTTGTGAAAAACGAGAATACATAAATTCAATTATTTCACTTTTTTAATTTTTAATAGACCTAATTCATCTCATGATGAAATATCTCAAAATGGTGTTCAATGCTTGTTATATTTATACGGGGCATCTGAAAATGAAAAATCTTTGAATAATTAACGTATTAATTTATTCAAAAATTTGCAACGAAAAATAAAAATAATCTTGCTCCGACAGAAGATATTGCCAGACAACACTCTTCCCAAGTTTACTTATAAGTGCAGTTATGGCTGGGTCGTAAAAAATATCCAAAGAGTGGGAATGGGTTTTTCAAAATAATATTTGTCCCCAGTTATAATATTAAATGTTCCAACAGTTAAAGGTTGTGGTAAAAATTGTGGCTGCCGAAAAACAGGACTGAAATGTTCAAATAAAAGTGGAAATTGCAAAGGCCAATTGTGTTTAAATTCAATAGAAATAGATATTGAATAGGAAGAAGATTGTACTTTTATTGAAGATATATTCGATGAAAATTTAAAAGAGGACAATAAATAAGAAAATGGAAAATAAATTTTAGTACTCATATTAAGCGTAATGTAACTCGAAAAATATTTGTTTAAATGCAAAATTAACATACTTATTTTGTTTAAAATTGGCTTACAAACAATTTTTGTACGGAACTTTTTTTTGTAAGTTCAATATTTTTTGAGGAATTTAAAAAAGTTTTTTTTTTAACTTTCGCAAAGTTGTAAAAAAAATTTCAAGTCCAATCGATTTTACGGCTATAATTCTGTTATTTTCCTAGCTACTTCTACTACTTTACTTTTCATCTCCTCATCCATTATAATCCCTACACTATTCTTTATATTAGACTTACTTGAGTATATTAATTTATAACCGTCACCTAGTTTCCTTGATTTCTTTCCTTTTCACTTAGTTTCCTGCATACAACATAATGTTAACTTTTCTCCTGTTCAATATTTCTACTAATTCTCTACTTCTACCATTTAATGTTCCAACATTCCAAGTACCTATTCTTACTTTGTATCTATCTTTTTCCCATATACACGAGTCCAGCCTAGAGTTAAATGGTGATGTCCCTACACCGTTGACACCACAAGCGTTGATTAGACCTGTATACATAACTGGTGAAACAATTACCACACAAGTTGTCCGGCTGGTATCAAACACTTAATTGTTTATGTCTTCTTTGTTTTTAACTACTTTATTTCCTCTCATCTGTTGTCCCCATGTAAATCTGAGATGGGACTATCTTCCTAAGTTTTGTTCAGGATTCCTCACACTTTTTGACAAAATTTTACACCGTCTGTTGACACAACATCATTAGTCGCTTCTTATGATTGGCATAAAAGCCGTGAAAGTATTCTTATCCTTTTCTACAGAGAGAAGTTATTAAATTGTATTGATCTTCATTCATTTATTATTATTTAAGATCATTGGGTTTTACAATTCGTTTATGTGTGTAAAAATAGAGTAATAATTAAAACAAACACATTAAAATAATCTTTAAATGAATTTCAAATGTTGAAACACATATAATATATGTGTTATAGGATGTATATCATATATGTGATAAGACCTAAATACCACTATAAGTTTAAGAGTGTCGTAATTCGAAAAAAGCTACTTTGAGATTTGAACTGTCGGCCTTCCATAAAAGTTACATTGCTTGTTTCTTTTTTTAGACATTTATATTAAGTTCGTGTCAAATTTTATATAAGTTGATTGCTTATTTAGATAATGAATAATAAACTAAAATGGATTATATAAAAATGTCACATGACACAAATTTCGACGTACGGCCCTCTTAAAATTATAGAGCGATATTATGTGTATGTTATTTCTAATTATTTGAAATTATTTTTTTTTCAGATTTTTATGGTAATAAGTTGATACAAAGACTCTTTTGATATAATGAAACATTTTGAGTACATGTGTTGGAAAAATAAATATTATTACTTATGTTTAGCTGATTGGTCAAAACAATTTAGAATATGTCTTATATGTCGCAAAATTCTAATTCGGAATTTGAAAAAGTCTTTTTAATCGTTTTTTTTATATTGTAAATAAAATAACACATGGAAATTAAAATATTTATAATTCAAATTTTATTGTGATATTAATATATTCTTTTGAAATAGTCTCTCACACATGTATTTAGTATTTTAAACATCGGTTAAAGAATATGATTTAATATTATCGTATCATCGTTTTGATAATTTTTAGTGATGTTTGAACATTTTTTTTTAGCTTCGATACGAAGTTTAGAAGGTATTAATTTTACCTTTTTTTTGTCTCTATTACACTTATTATACTACTTATACTCTCGATTTTTCTCAATGATATATCAAATGATCACAAATTGTATGTAATTGAAGGCATTACACTAAAAAATTGAAAAATTTTCTCTCTAAATGGTGAAAATCTCTAAAAAATTACTATTTTAGAAAATTAGTAAATTTCCACACTTTTAAAATTTTTTTTTTTAAAACTCATATTTAATTAATAAATAAATTCCCTTCGTCCTAAAAGGAAGCAGATCTCCCCAACTCTTGAGTCCCCATTAATACACAAGAAGACACAATGCCCAGTGCGGCCATCCTAATGTCATCGTCAATCGCGTCGTTATTGGCCAAGAAGCCCCAAAACTGATGTCTCTTTCAGCGGTTAACCTATTCAAACTCCTACGTAACACCAAAAAGGGGTGCTTATTTTGTGGCTAACTTGCATATCTGCAGCCCGTTCCTCACTCTGCAACTTGAGGACGTGTCCGATATTCCTAGCTTGTGTAATAAACAAAAAAGAAGAGGAGAGGAAAGGAATGCGGACGCTTGTAATAAACAAAAAGAAGTAAGAAGACGGGAAAAGTAAGGGTAGCAGGTAGTATAATGGGAAAGTAAAATATTAGCTGTTATGGTTGTTTGATATAAAGAGAGTAAGAGTGGCTATAGCTATTGGGCAGCGACAATAATAGAATGAAATAGAAAGGGATCTCGGGATACTTATGTCTACAGAAGCACATTTGATATATATGAGTAAAGGTGAAATACCAACGAAAGGTTACTATATAGCTTCCGCACAAAAATGTATACACGAATTTATATGAGTCGTTATTATTGTATTCTTTTACGCTGTTATTTCAGTTAGTTTACTTCCGGCAACCTATCTCACTACTTCTTTTCAATCACCCGAAGGACAACCAAGGTTAGATGCGACTGTACTAAGAGATTTATGCACAATAAATTATGTTAGTGTCCTACACTCCGATGGCCCGCACTGTGGCTGAGATCAGACTGGTTAGTCGACAAGTGAAGAGACACTTTAGAGAACTTTTATAATTAATTGAAATCTTGAATATGAAATTATAATGCTAGTACTATGTCCAGCTAGGTTGTAGCGCTTCAATAAGTAATAGAACACATTGCAATCTTATCATGTATTTTTTTGAAGTGTGTATGTATATAATAAAATTAATGAATACCAATATTTTATATGTGTTGAAATATTTGTATCACCAAAGGTATTCGACCGAAAATAAGATGTATAAGTACCCGGTCATTTTTTTTAGCTCTCACCGAACCAATTTCTTTCAACGATACGTCAAAAGATCACAAATCATATCTAATCCAAGACATTACACACAAAAACTTAAAAATATCCCTCGTTCCCCGTAAATGGGCGAAATCTCCAAAAAAATTACAAATTTAAAAATCGCTAATTTTTTCAATTTTTTGAAAAATGTAAGGATCAATACAATTTTTTTATGAGATATAATATTTATATACTTTTTTTATGTGGCATAATTTTTTTTTTAATCAGGCTATTACCATTTATACAGGGGGGGGGTTCAAAACTTAAAAATGTATATAGAAAGTAGAACTTTTCAACTTAACTTTTGAAAATGTTCCGGAAATACTGACACTTATATATATTAGGGTGACCCTTAGCTACATGAGAAGTTTTTTTTTTTTTAATATTTGTAAGTGCCACCCCCGAGAATTATTCGAATACATGAAAAAATAAATTGTACAAAATTTGGAGACGATTAGTCAACTCTAAGACGTGCCCCAAGGGGGTTAAAAATACCCCCCAAGGGTGATTTTTTAGTTTTTTTTGTCTATCTCAAAAAATTTAGCTATTGCGAAAATGTTTATTTGGATTTTTTTGTAGGTATACAATTTTTCTATAAAAAGTATTTATACAAAAATTTTCGAAAAGTTCTTATTTAACCCTAAAAAAATAAAAACGTATATGTTCTATTCTTACCGTTGAAATTGTTAATTTATAAATTATTGTAAAAACATAAAAAAAACGGTAGCACAGTGGGGTCGCGGCATAGTGGAGACATTGCATAGTAGGGTCCAGTATAGATTTAATCTGACAGTGATTAAAATCACTATCATAAGAAACGCTTCGATGCAAATCTGTAGATAGTGTTTAATTTTAAAAAATTGATGGATAATTGCAAAAGCAACATCAACTTCTATTAAAATAAAATACAAAACCCATAATTATCATACAAAAATAGTATATTTTTCAATATGGTAGCCATTTGCGTATAGAAGATAGATCGTCGGGACAAATTTTTTTTTTTCATTTTGTAGTACATAAAATAAGCTTTAATTTTATATATGTTTAAAGGACGCAGTATTTCCGGAACATTTTCAAAAATTAAGTTGAAAAAGTTATTTTTTGTAAAAAAGTTACTATTTTAAATCCTCCCAGTGAGCAGAATAAGTGTTAGATTTTCAAAAAAAATTATATCAAATGAAAGGGAAATATCTAAGGTTTCAATACAAAAAAATATTATTTTTATTTGTTCATTTTTGAAAAAGTTATGGCAGTTTTAAGTACAAAAAACATCCCGATAAAATGTAATTTTTATCGCAAACATTACATTTTTTTTTAAATTTTCGACAGCCATTTGCACATAGAAGATAAGATGTCGGGACAAATTTTTTTTTTTCATTTGATAGTATATAACATAACCTTTGATTTGATATATGTTTAAAGGACGCAGTATTTCCGGAACATTTTCAAAAGTTCAGTTGAAAAAGATCTATGTTTTTTACAATATTTTAAGTTTTGAACGCCCCCTATATAAGGGGAAATTGTCCAATTTTAATAAAAAGTATGTCAAATGAAAGATGTACTTATAATGTATTTAGAAAAAAAAAATTTGTGCTGATATATACATTTTTCAAAAAGTTATAGCATTTTTAAGTTGAAAATTTAAAATCGAAAATCGAAAATTTTAACACAAAAATAGTGTTTTTTTAACTACGGCAGCCGTTTAAATGTAGAAAAAAAAGTGTCGGGACAAATTTTTTTTTTTCATTTTGTAGTACATAAAATTAGCTTTAATTTGATATATGTTTAAAGGACGCAGTATTTCCGGAACATTTTCAAAAATTAAGTTGAAAAAATTAATTTTTGTAAAAAAGTTGCCATTTTAAATCTCCCCCAATGAGCAGGTTATGTGATAGATTTTCAAAAAAATGATATTAAATGAAAAGTAAATATTTAAGGTTTTAGTATAAAAAAAAATTATGTTGATTTTTCAAAAAGTTATGGAAGTTTTAAGAAAAAAAAGTGAAAAAGTGAAAAAATTTCGAAAATTAGCGATTTTT